TACAAAAAATCAGCTGGGCATGGTGGTGCGTGCCTGTAATCCCAGCTACTCAGGAGGCTGAGGCAGGAGAATTGCCTGAACCCAGGAGGCGGAGGTTGCGGTGAGCCAAGATTGCGCCATTGCACTCCAGCCTGGGCAACATGAGTGAAACTCCGTCTCAAAAAAAAAAAAAAAAAAAAAAAGCAGCTACAACCACCACTGCCTGGGGCTTGGTTTGCGGGAGGTGGTGGTATTACTTCCCATGGGAGAGAATCTCTCTGAGCTCAGGGCACACAGCCAGTAAGAGGTGTTGTCAGAGTTGGAGTCCAGGCTTTCTGTCCCCAGACTGGCACTCTTCCCTCTGCCACGCTGCCTGACCACGGGGTGAAACTTAGCCCGTAAAGCCTCACCTAGAGACAACCCTAATGCTCGGTTTGAATCCACTTTTATTCAAAGGGAAAAGAATCCCACCGACCAAGACACGGCCCCTCAGACCAGGGTCCAAGAAGCCCCTGCTGGAGGACGACCCTCAGTGCGCCAGGAAGATCTCATCGGAGCCCACTCCTGGCGAGAGTAAGAGCCACTGGGCTGGGTCGAGGCAGGACCAGCCTGCTGCATGCTCAGAGACGGCCCCTCTCCTTCCCCACCTGGGCACAGAAGAGTAGAGTCAGGTTTCTTCAGCATTTTCAGGGCACCAAGCAGTCCTGTACCACTGGGCCAGAGTGCTTCCCAGGCACCCCCCAAGATGGTGAATGGAACAGAGTCCCCCTCTAGCCAGGCCCCTGGCCCCTGCTGCTCCTCCGTCTCTACTCCTACCTCTAGTGCTTTGCAGGTTGGTGACAGATTGGCACATGCCAGTGTCTCTGGCATAGCCTGCCTGGCTTGGGGCTTGGCTCTTTGCTGCTGCCCCAGAGGGCAAGCAGGAGGGTGAAGGCGTGTCCTAGGTCCCATCTGTAGAGAGCCAGGTCCCTTCCCCAGCTCCTCTACCCCCACCCCCCTCGAGTTACTTACTCACCTCCCCTCCCTCTTTAGTTATTGCTGTGCGTGTGAAGGAAGAGCATCTAGATTTGGCCTCGCCCAACAAGGCTTCAAGTCCAGAGCTGCCTGTCCCCATTGAGAACATCAAGCAGGAAATGGACAACTGAGCCCCCCTGCCACCAGCTTGGCTCCTAGCTGGAAGCCAGCCCCGGGGTTTCTCCTCCACCACCACTGAGCCTCTGTCTGTGTAAATTTTGCCTGGTGCTGTGAAGACTGGACAGTGGAGGACCTGCTGGGGTCTCCTGGGACCCGCCTGTTGCCTCTGCGATCCCCTGTGGAATGGCCTAGGTGACTGGGGCTGCCTGAGGTCTTCTGTGAACCACCTCCAGCCAGAGTTCCCGAAGCTGGAATGCCAGCTGCCTGGGTGCCTGCTTTTCCTTAAGATGACCTTCCCACCACAGCCTTTAGTTCCCAGGTTGGGGCCACCCCTGTCACACTGGAAGACAAGATAGTGCACTCTGTGTCTGCCCAAACGACTCATGTAAATTAAGTTCCAGCGCAGCTCTCTGAGCAGGATAAGGTCCCCTGACAGTGAGTCGTGTGATGGGAGTAGCCTCTGCCTCAATTCACCAAGCAGAATGCCTCTCAGCCTCATGTGTTGGTCATCTGCCCCTCCTAAGCTCCCCAGGGATGTTGGGGACCCAGCTTGGCTGGGCAGCCGAGAAGCAGTGACCAGGATGTGGATTTTGGTGACCCATGTGGTGGCCTTGAGCTGTTTGCTGTGTTTGCATGAGCGTGGACTCCCATTTCCTAAAGGAAATGCCCCAGGAAGGACAGTGGGAGGAAGATGACCTGAGGGTGCACTCTGGCTCTGCGGCATGCTCCTGGAGCCCTGCTAAAAGTCATTCATCCAAGAGTCCCTTGTAGTTAAAGGAACCAGTTCCAACTGGAGCCTCTGGGAGAGCTGGGCATGTATGCTGTCTTGGCCTTGTGTTCCTACCGGAATGAAGATGCCATGCCTGCAGGTGCCATGAACACAGGGCCCTCAGGACCAGGGTGACAGAGCTGGAGGACACATCTGGCTGCCATTGCAGCCTCACTGGGCTCCCCAGACTTTGTGTCTGAAAAATTAAATCCCCTACTTGCCTGAGTCCAGTTTGTTAGATTTCTGTTCCTTGCACAGTGTTGTGACCCACCACCTCATGGTGGTATGGATTATGAATGCCACGAGTCAAGACACGAGTGTGTGAGGCCATAAAGAATGTCGGCTGGGCATGGTCGGTGGCTCACGCCTGTAATCCCAGCACTTTGGGAGGCCAAGGTGGGTTGATCACCTGAGGTCGGGAGTTCGAGACCAGCCTGACCAACATGGAGAAACCCCATCTCTACTAAAAATACAAAAAAATTTAGCAGGCATGGTAGCACATGCCTATAATACCAGCTACTTGGGAGGCTGAGGCAGGAGAATCGCTTCAACCTGGGAGGCGGAGGTGGCGGTGAGCCAAGATTCTGCTACTGCACTCCAGCCTGGGCAATAAGAGTGAAACTCTGTCTCAAAAAAGAAAAAAAATGTCAATGTTACCTGTCATCAGCTCAAGTTCCCTGTCTTAGCCACATATTGTCCTTATTTACGGTTCTGCCATTCTCCCCAAAGACTCAGCTCCCCAGAGATGGAGCCTTTGCCTGTCCCTAGTGCCTGGCACTTTGGCATCAAGGTGGCCTTGAGTTTGTGTAAAGTGGGAATGTGCACGTGACCATGTGTTGCTGGCACCTAGAGGTCAACTTGATTTGCCGGAGATGGACTATTGATCGCTTGAAAATTATGCTCAATGCACACAGCAGCCTTGTGCCTCAGTTTGCCCTTGGAGGAAAGTAAAGTTCTTGGAGTTGCAGCAGTGAGGCTGCTGGCAGGGAGCCATCTTGCAAATTCCTCATCCCTGCTTCTCCTGCCTCAGGACCCACAGGGGCTCCTGGTACTGGTAAGACCAAATCCAGACCCTTTAAGAACCTGCTCTGCACCCCTGGTCCTTTATAGTCGGCCCTTTGCTCCAGGGAAAGGGAAGCTAAGGGAGCGCCATTGTACCAAGAGCCCCTACCCAGGTGCCAGGTTAAATACATATCTAGGCTAGGTGCAGTCACTCATGTCTGTAATCCCACCACTTTGGGAGGCCAAGGCAGAGAAATCACCTGAGGTCAGGAGTTTGAGACCAGCCTGGCCAAATGGTGAAACCCCATCTCGACTAAAAATACAGAAATGAGCTGGGCGTGGTGGCAGGTGCCCGTAATCCCAGCTACTCGGGAGGCTGAGGCACAAGAATTGCTTGAACCTGGGTGGGGGAGGTTGCAGTGAGCTGAGATCACACCACTGCACTCCAGCCTGGGTGACAGAGTGAGACTTTGTCTCTAAATAAACAAGTATCTAAATGGCTCATTTCGCCATCACAGCAACCCTGTGTGGTACTGATGACAAAAAGGAAGGCTCAGCTGGGCACAGTGGCTCATGCCTGTAAACCCAACACTGGGAGGCCGAGGCGGGTGGATCACAAGGTCAAGAGATCAAGACCGTCCTGGCCAACATGGTAAAACCCTGTCTCTACTAAAATACAAAAATTAGCTGGGCGTGGTGGTGCGTGCCTGTAGTCCCAGCTACTTGGGAGGCTGAGGGACAAGAATTGCTTGAACCTGGGAGGTGGAGGTTGCAGTGAGCTGAGATCATGCCACTGCACTCTAGCCTGGTGCCTAGCAACAGAGCAAGACTGTCTCAAAAAAAAAAAAAAAAAAAAAAAAAGGAAGGCTCAGTACCGTTTAGTGACTTGGCTGCTTAAATTTATACCTCTTAAGGATGGCAGTGGGGTTGAACCCAGGTTTGTCTGCCAGATGATGTAGTAAGTCAATCATTCAGCCTTCCTGAGCATCTTCTGGGTGCCAGGCACCAACCTAGACACAGGCATCGAGGGAGACTGTGGCAGATGTCTAGCCTCGTGCCTTCAGCAGGTGAGCAGCTCCAGCCCAGAACAATGCCAGCGCATGAGCCTCAAGATAAGAACCCTCTGCTGCCAGGACCAGTGGCTCATGCCTGTAACCCCAACACTTTGGGAGGCTGAGGCAGGTAGATCACCTGAGGTCAGGAGTTTGAGAACAGCCTGGCCAACATGGTGAAACCCTGTCTCTACTAAAAATACAAAAATCAGCCAGGTGTGGCACTTGCCTATAATCTTAGCTACTTGGGAGGCTGAGGTAGGAAAATTGGCTTGAACCCCAGAGGCAGAGGTTCCAGTGAGCCGAGATCGCACCACTTCACTCCAGCCTGGGCGACAGAGCGAGACTCCATCTCAAAAAAAAAAAAAAAAAGTGAAAGGAGTATCTCCATGTCAGAAAGGGTGGCTAGGTCAAATGGGCTGAGGTCCTGATTACAAAGCCACTATACCGTGTGTGGGGGTGGGGACCTGGGGTGTCCTTCCCCTTTTAACCGAAGCCCTGACCTGGAAGTAGACTCGGAGCTTCCACTCCTGAGCCCAGCTCAGCTTCCACATGCATGTCCCCAGGGCTGACACAGAGAGAAAGCACTCCTGCCTTTCCCTAGTCATGCCATGTGACTGCCAACTGAGATTAGCGCTGCTGTCATCAACACTAGTTCTGGGTCTGGCTTCTAAGGCAGAACTGGCTCACCCTCAGCTTGGGGTGTTTTTAGGGGTTCCTTCCCAGCTCCCAGCCAGAGATCAGGAACACTTTATGGACTAAATTGTGCTCATCCCAGAAAGACAGGTTGAAGCCCTAACCCCAGTACCTAAAGAATATGTATGAGCTTACTTGGATATAGATTCCTTCTAGAATATAAACACCACTAATGGCCCCAGGGCCCCCAGATTTTCAAAATGCAGGTCCAGGGGAGGCAGAGCCCTCTCCCCACCTTCCCAGGCCCCACTCTATTCTCATTTTCCCTTGAAGGGGCAGAGACAGTGAGGCACCTGTGCTATGCTCCCATTCCTGGGATCCTGGGCTGAGGGAGGCTGCTTAGGTCAGGCTGGGACATGGTTGAGTCAACAGTGATCTGGCAAGTATGGAAACAGCAGGACTGATTTAAGGACACATCTGGACCAGCACACTGGCTTATAGGAAAGGCCACCGTCTCACAGCAGGAGCAAATGGTCATTTCCTTGCAAACCCATCCTGGTGGGGGTAGGGAAGACGGGAGGGTGGACGTTACTGAACTCACGCAACCAGGTCATTGCCCAGCTCTGGAACATGATTTAGAACCAAGCCAAGTCAGGCTCCAGCTTCCTGGGCACTTTGGAACCTGACCCACCACCCACCGGAGCCTCACCCCTCCTGCCCCATGGCCAACCTTATCTGCTCCCCGCTGTCTTCCTTTGGTGGGAGTTCTCCTGGCGCTGGGCCCAGAGGCTGGTGTCCGCTTGGCCTTCCTGGCAGCCCAGCCCGGGCAGGCTTCAAAAACAGCAGCTGCAGCCTTCACCCTCTGGCCACGGGCACTGGGAGGGGTGGCACAGGTGGCCCCCACCCGCAGGTTCAACCCAGTGAGCCACCTGAAGAGAATAGAGAGCTGGGGAGCTGGCTGTGCTGACTCTGCGGAGAGCTTTCCTGAGAAGGTGAAGGAGGCCACAGGAATTGGGAGCAGTGGGTCCTACGGGTGACAGCAGCCTCTGCTGAAAATCTTGGTGGCTCACCAATTATGTGACCTATAAGTCACTTCAAGCCTCCAATCCCTTCTTTGTAAAAAAAGGATAATAGGCCGGGCGCGGTGGCTCAAGCCTGTAATCCCAGCACTTTGGGAGGCCGAGATGGGTGGATCACGAGGTCAAGAGATCGAGACCATCCTGGTCAACATGGTGAAACCCCATCTCTACTAAAAATACAAAAAATTAGCTGGGCATGGTGGCGCGTGCCTGTAATCCCAACTATTCAGGAGGCTAAGGCAGGAGAATTGCCTGAACCCAGGAGGCGGAGGTTGCGGTGAGCCGAGATCGCGCCATTGCACTCCAGCCTGGGTAACAAGAGCGAAACTCCGTCTCAAAAAAAAAAAAAAAAAAGGATAATAGGCTGGGCACGGTGGCTCACATCTGTAATCCCAGCACTTTGGGAGGCTGAGGCAGGCAGATCACAAGGTCAAGAGAGTGAAACCATCCTGGCCAACACGGTGAAACCCCATCTCTAGTAAAAATACAAAAATTAGCTGGGCATGGTGGTAAGCACCTGTAGTACCAGCTACTCGGGAGGGTGAGGCAGGAGAACCGCTTGAACCTAGGAGGTGAAGGTTGCAGTGAGCCGAGATCAGGCCACTGCACTCCAACCTGGCGACAGAACAAGATTCCATCTCAAAAAAATAAAGCGGGGCGGGTGGGATAATAACAGCAATAATAAACAGTTAGAGGGCTTACAACGTACCAGAAATTCAAATCAACTTACGTATGCTAATTTCATTATTAAAACAACCATCATGAGGTTAGATTCTATATCCCCCTTTTTACAGATGGGCACCTTTTTACAGATGGTTATATGGCTTGTAGAATTAGTTGGTAAAATGGCAGAGCCAGGACTGGAGCCCAGGTCTGCAAGACTCCAGGCTTCTTGTGACTTTATTTTTGGGATGGGAATCTCTGTCACGGAGGCTGGAGTGCAGTGGCACGACCTTGGCTCACTGCAACCTCCAGCTCCCAGGTTCAAGCGATTCTCCTGCCTCAGCTTTCCAAGTAGCTGAGATTACAGGTAGGCACCACCACGCCTGGCTAATTTTTGTATTTTTAGTAGAGACAGTGTTTCACCATGTTAGCCAGGCTAGTCTCTAACTCCTGACCTCAGGTGATCCACCCGCTTCCACCTCCCAAAGTGCTGGGATTACAGGCATGAGCCACTACACCTGGCCTCTTGTGACTTATATAATTATGTAAAGTGGCCTCACCTATGTATTAGATCCCAGCCCACTAGGCGGAGCAGATACTGTGCCTACTTTATGGATGATGGAATCAAGGTTCAGAGAAGTCCACCCCCAACCTCCCTAGGAAAGGTAACTGACCCTGGAAACGGTTCATACATGCCTGGCTCTGGCAGCACCTGCCCCTTGCCTCAAGCTGCTGGGCTGGGCACAGACATGGTGTGCCCAGGGAGATGATGGGGACTTGACTGACAGCAGCTGGGTGGTCTTTGGCTGGGGGTCTAGGCTGGGTTGCTCACCTGTGCAGCGGGAGCAGCTGGCAGTCACAGTGGAAGGGATTGCCGCTGAGGTCGATGAGTTCCAGCTGGCTGAGGCTGGGCAGAGCAGGCAGGGTCTGAAGCTGGTTCTTCTGCAGGTGAAGCCTCTGGAGCCCGGGCCCTAGGCCTGAAAAGGCCCCAGGAGAAATCTGCAAGTTGTTGTCAGGACCAGATGTGAGCTCCTGGCAGACCTCTCCCACCCCCAGGTCTGGGAGGGAGCCCCATCTTCCCTCAGCAAAGAGAAGTTGGAGAGCCCAGGGTGATCCAGCCAGGAAGTACGGTATGGGGCTGAAGCCCAGGCTGGTCTGATGTCAAAGCACTTGCTCTGTCCAAGTCACCCAGGTGCCCAGTTCATGGTCCACCACCCAATAATGGCAGATCCTCTTGGGGGCTTTCAATATGTACAAACAGTAAATGACCCCATCGTCCCAAATTCCTCCCTCCTCTAGGCTCCAGCAATGCCCTCCTGTGCAGGTACCGTGTGTGGCCTGGGTTCTGCCTGGACTGTCACTCACAGCGGCAGGGGCAGTCCTGGTTTATCTCAGGGTCTCCGTGCCCAGCCTGAGACCTGGCACCAAGGGGCTGGCAAATGCCTGTTGAGCCAATGCACGCTGCCTATGGCCTTGTGCCACCTCCTGCACCAACCCTGCCACACACCCAGTGCCCACCTGCTCCAGGCCACTGCTGTTCAGGAAGAGGTGCTGCAGCGACCTGCCCACAGGCTGGAAGGCCCCGTTGTGCAAGGCCCTGAGTGGGTTGCCTGAGAGCTGCAGCTCCAGGAGGCCAGGCAGCCCCTCCAAGGCCCCAGTGGGCACCTCTCGCAGCTGATTCCTGTCCAGGTGCAGCTTCTCTAGCTCCCAAGCTGGGCCCAGCGCCCCGGGAGACACTTGGGTGATGCGGTTCCCACTCAGGTAGAGCCAGCGCAAGGCCCGTGTTCCCCCCAGGTCCCCAGGTGCCAGGCGGTCCACAGCGTTGTCCTGCAGGTGCAGGGAGAAGAGACTGGGCAGGGCACGCAGGGCAGCCCCTGGCACCTGCAGGAAGCGGTTGCGCTCCAGGTACAGGTAGCCAAGGCGGGGGGCCCCTTCGAGGGCAGCAGCGCTGAGGCCTGCGATCTGGTTGTCAGAGAGGTACAGATAGATCAGGCGGCCCAGCCCCGCCAGGGCGCCCGCCTCCAGCTCCGTGATGCCGCACTGCTGCAGGTGCAGTGACACCAGGTGGCCCAGGCCGGAGAAGGCCTCTCGGGGCACCGAGGGGAAGTGGTTCCGCCTCAGGTCCAGGAGCTGGGTGTCGTTGGGGAAGCCGCGGGGCACCGCCTGCAGGCCGCAGCCCTCGCAGCTGCAATGCCGGGACTCCGGGGCGCACACGCAGGCGCCAGGGCAGGGCACAACCGCCTGCTCCCTCTCCCTGGGGCCGCGCGGAAAGGCGCGTGGAGGGGTGCGGGGTCCCGCCCCAGCCCGCTCCTCCCGCTCCTCCCGCTCCTCCCGCTCTTCCTCTTCCTGCGCCGCGTCTCCCGGGCAGCGCAGGTCCCAGGGCCGCAGGGCGTCCAGAGCTTCGCCCCTCAGGCGCCGCGGCCCTCGACACTCGCCGTCGGAGCGCACGCGCGCCCGCACCAGCCACTCCAGCAGGGGCCGCGCCTGGCAGCCGCACCACAGCGGGTTCCCCTGCAGTCTCAGCCGGCGCAGCTGGCCCGGGCCTTGCAGCGGGGGCAGGGCGTCCAGCTGGTTCCCGCGGAGGTCGAGGGTGTGCAGGCGCGGGCAGTGCGCGAAGGCCCTGGGACCCAGGGCCTGCAGGGCTCCGCCGTCCAGCAGCAGCTCCCGCAGGCCCGGTAGCGCCAGCCCGTCCTCCTCGCCCGCGTAGGTGAGCGGGTTGTAGCCCAGCTCCAGACGGGCCAGGCCGCGGGCCTGGGATAAGGCGGGCCCGGGCAGGGCCTGGAGTTCGTTGTGGTGCAGGCTGAGCCGGCGCAGGGTGGACAGGCCAGCCAGGGCCTCGGGGTCCAGCACGCTGAGCGCATTGTGCGACAGCCGCAGCCAGCGGACGCGCAGCAGGCCCTGGAAAGCCATGGCGGGCAGGTGGACCAGGGCGTTGTGGGCCAGGTTCAGCGTGGCCAGCGCGCCCAGCGCCCCGAATGTCCCCGGCCGCAGCTCCTCCAGCGCGTTCCCCTCCAGCTCCAAACGCCGCAGCGAGCCCAGCCCGTCCAGCGCCTCCTGGGGCAGTGCGCGCAGGCGGTTGGAGGCCAGGTTGAGCAGGAGCAGGCGGCCCAGGCCACGGAAGGCGCCCTCGGCCACCAGCTCCACCTGGCAGTGACGCAGGTCCAGGTGTGTAAGGTGGGGCAGGCCCTGGAACGCGGCTGCGGGGATCACCTTCAGCAAGTTGTCCTGCAGGTCCAGCCGCTGGGTCAGCTGGGGGCGACGAGGGGAAAGCAGGGCTGAGCCGGGCAGGGACCTCGCCTTTGCAAGTGCTGCCCTTTCCCCAACACTCTTCTCTCCCATCACCTTTCCCATATTTCCCGTCATCCGAACCCTGACACCTCCTCCAGGAAGCCTTCCTCTCCAGTGCCCTGGGCATCCCCCACTGTGGCACTTTTCACACTGTGCTGTCACTGCCTCCTTGCTCTTTCTCCTCCACTAGCTGACGACTCCGCAGGGCAGAGACCACACCTCACCCTGCCACAGCCCTGTCTCTCCACCACAGGGTCTGCAGTGAATTCAGGATCGATCTATGGGTTACCTACTTACTCCATTCACACAGTAGGGATTTTAAATAGATCATCTCCCTGTTTCTGGTTTTTATTATTCCCATTTTACAGATGTGTAAACTGAGGCTCAAAGAGAGCTTGCCAAGGTCTCCCGGCCAGGCAATGGGAGATCAGTTGGTGCCCTGCGCAGGCTCCTCCCTCTGCCCCACTGCCACTCTGTGCCTGTGCTCCCGCCTGCTGACCTCAGGGATGGTGTCTGGCACCTCGGTGAGGTTCTGGTGCCGGCAGGCGACATGCCACCTGGAGTTGTCACAGATGCAGGCCTGTGGGCAGCGCTGGGCGCCTGCCTGCCTAGCTGGGCCCAGCAACAGCAGTACCAGCAGCAGCAGCACCAAGGAGACATGGGTGGAGCTCCGGAGCCTGGAAGGGGGAGGGAGAGCCTGTTTACGCAGAAGCAGGGACTACACGCTGTCCCTCACTTAGTCCCAGTCCTGGAGCTGCGCCTACCCTGAAAACCCCTCAGAGCCCCCTCCTTTGGGTCCAGGAAAGTGCCCATCGCCCTGAGCCTCCTGCCCCCACCCCCCACACAGTGGAGGTCCTATGATTAGTCCTGTTTTACCTGGGAGGAAACTGAAACCGAGGTCGGAAAACCGACCTAGTGAGTCCCTTTGCCTCTCACCTAATGGCTCCGGTTCAGAGCCTGCTCTGGGGCTGTGAGAGGCTCCAGTCCCGGGAAGGCTCAGAAGCAGCCTGTCCTCAGACTGATATGATGCCAGCTCCCAGGGAGCAGGAGCGTAATGATGCCCACCACAGGGGAGGAAGGCATCCAGCCCAGTCCTTGAGCCTGAGCCCTTTTTTTTTTTTTTTTTTTTAAAAAGAGACAAGCCTTGCCCTGTTGCCCAGGTTGGAGTCTGGAGTGCAGTGGAATGATTATGGCTTACTGCAGCCTTAACCTCCTGGGCTAAAGTGATCCTCTCACCTCAGCCTCTAGAGTAGCTGGGACTACAGGCATGTACCACCAAGCCCAGCTAATTTTTAAATTTATTTTTGGCAGAGACAGGCTCTCGCTATGTTGCCCAGCTGGCCTTGAACTCCTGGCCTCAAGTGATTGGCCCACATTGGCCTCCTAAAGTGCTAGGATGATAGGTTCACCTCACCTACCCAGCTCACACGCAGCTTGTCCCTCCCCTCACCCACCCAGCTGGCCCCTCCTCTTCTCAGCCTGTGTCAGGCACATCCTCTCCCAATCCCTGGGCTGGTCCCTGCCCCCCAGGAGCCTCCCTCTCTCTGTTCACTGGACTGTTGCTGTCTGCTTTTGAGTCTCCTTTGGGTACCAGGCTCCAGCCCATGCCTTGGAGTTGGTGGCTTCTCCATAGCCTGTGGTGAAGGCTGTGCCCCAGGGTAGGCCAGAGAGGGGACCCATGGGGACAGATCCCCGAAAGGACAAGCATCCACGATGCAGGGGCCGCTAATGGGCTCTCAGACAAGCCCCGGAGGACTAGTCCCCGGCAGCAGCCACATTCCCACATGTGTCTCAGAACCCACCTTGGGAGACCCCTAGAGAATCCCAGGAAGTCCCCAGAGCCCCTGCCCACCAGCCTCTCTCAAGGCCCAGAGAGGGGCAGAGACACTTGAAGCCACTCAGCTGCTCTGAACCCCCCTTGCACCCTCGGACCCAAAGACTTACCCCTCCATGCCGCCTAGAACTGCCGGTCCAGCCTGGAGGCGCAGCGCAGGGAAAGGCCGTTTCTGCCTGGCGGGAGCCCCCCTCTGCAGCCCGCAGGCCTGGCAGCTGGGACAGGGCTGAATGGGAGGCATTGTTGGCGGCCCAGGCGAGCCGGGCTTCCCCAGGCTGAGGTGAAGGAGGGGCAGGTGGCGGATGGGAGCAGCGGCTGGAATTACAGGGTCTCCTGCCTGCCCCAGCCCAGGATGGAGGCCCAGGCCTGAGTACTTGGGCCTGCCCAACAGGGAGGGGACACGGGCAGCTGGCCGGGGAGTAAGCATTCCTGGGCTCCCTCCTGCCATGCAGGCTGCCCTCCCAGAGGCTGTTTCCTAGTCTCTGAAAAACACATCCTATTAATAAGTAGCTCTAGGGTCACAGTGGGGTTTGAGGCCTGCCCCTGGCACACAGTGGGTGCTTAAGGACAGGTGACCCTTTCCTTCCATCTGTTTGTGCTTATGCATTTACATACATTGTTTAATATAGACATACAGGATTCTAAAAATCCATTTATTTTTATTTTTTTTTTTTTTTGAGACGGAGTTTCGCTCTTGTTACCCAGGCTGTAGTGCAATGGCGCGATCTCGGCTCACCGCAACCTCCACCTCCTGGGTTCAGGCAATTCTCCTGCCCCAGCCTCCTGAGTAGCTGGGATTACAGGCACGAGCCACCATGCCCAGCTGATTTTTTGTATTTTTAGTAGAGACGGGGTTTCACTATGTTGACCAGGATGGTCTCGATCTCTTGACCTCGTGATCCACCCGCCTCGGCCTCCCAAAGTGCTGGGATTACAGGCGTGAGCCACCGCGCCCGGCTTATTTTTAATTTTTATTAGACAGAGTCTTGCTGGCATGATCTCGGCTCACTGCAACCTCCACCTCCTGGGTTCAAGCAATTCTCATGCCTCAGCCTCTCGAGTAGCTGGGATCACAGGCATGTGCCACCACACCCAGTAATTTTGTATTTTTAGTAGAGACAGAGTTTTACCATGTTGGTCAGGCTGGTCTCGAACTCCTGACCTTGTGATCCACCCACCTTGGCCTTCCAAAGTGCTGGCATTACAGGCGTGAGCCACTGAGCCTGGCTAATTTTTTTTATTTTTTGAGACGGAGTCTTGCTCTTGTTGCCCAGGCTGGAGTGCAATGGCGTGATCTCAGCTCACCACAACCTCCTCCTCCTGGGTTCAAACGATTCTCCTGCCTCAGCCTCCTGAGTAGCTATGATTACAGCGTGCACCACCATGCCCGGCTAATGTTTTTGGTATTTTTAGTAGAGACAGGGTATCTCCATGTTGGTCAGGCTGGTCTTGAACTCCCGACCTCAGGTGATCCACCCACCTCGGCCTCCCAAAGTGCTGGAATTACAGGCGTGAGCCACAGCCCGGCCAACATTCATTTTTTTTCACTTAACCTCAGATTACTGGGCATTATCCAAGTTGATTCTTCTGAATCTCATTTATTCTGTGGTATAGTATTCCACTGTATAAATGTATCACATTTGACTTATCCATTCCTCTTGGACATTGGCTCTGATTTTTTGCTATTTACAAACAATATTGTGAAGAATATCGAAATACGAACCTTCCCAGGCATATATTTGCTTTTTAAATAATACATCCAGCCTATGGCCAATGTTTATATATCTTACCATTTTTCAAATCCCTGGTTCTGATGGAACTGCATCTTCCATTACTGTTTCCTTTAATTGCAAACAGGGGCCAGGCACAGGTGGCCACCGCACCTGATCTCATCTGTTTTAAAAAAATGGTTTTATTTTTAAAAAATATAGCATTCCAGCCTTCCATTCTATAGATATATGATAACAATGGCATGGGGCAAGGGCAGGAGGCTATCTGCCCACAATGCAGGCAATAAATGGAGAAGTAAAATACAACAGAACCAACTTAAAGTCAGTCTTTTTTTCATTGTCATGTGCTGGCAAGTCTAAACAATGTCAATGCTAAAATATTTCTTCTTGGGCAGACCATTCCCACCTTCTTGGTGCCTCACCATACCACAAGTAGTTTACCCATTCCACTAGTGATGGACACTGGGTCGTTTTCAGCATGGATTTATTAGGAAGAGCACTGTAGCTGGGCATGGTGGTTCATGCCTGTTAAGTGAGCTGAGGGGGGGAGAATCACTTGAGCCCAAGAGTTTGAGACCAGCCTAGGCAAAACACAGTGAGACCCTGTCTTTAAAAAAAAGAAAAAAAAGCAGAACATGGTGGTGTAAGATAAGACATGGTCCCAGCTACTCGGGAGGCTGAGGCGGGAAGACTGGGTGCCCGGGAATCAGGCTGCAGTGAGCTGTGCTTGCACCACAGCACTGCAGCCTGGGTGACACAGCAAGACCCTGTCTCAAAAAAGTTGTACCAATTTATAAATCCACCAGCCACTCCAGATGCCCCAAATCACCACCACGCATGGTACTGTCTTTTGGATTTTAGCCATTCTAGTGAAGGTAGAAGAGTGTCACACTGTGACTGTAATGTTTCTCTGAAGACTAAATTAAAGCACCTTTTCACATGCTTTTTGTAAAGTTACCATTTGAGCTTTTTGCTTTTTCCTGTTGCCTTTTATTTACAGAAATTTTCCCAGCCTGGGCAACATGACAACACTCCATCTCTACTAAAAATACAAACCATTAGCCAGGTGTGGTGGCGCGTGCCTATAGTCCCAGCTACTTGGGAGGCTGGGGTGGAAGGATCACCTGAGCCAGGGAGATACAGGCTGCAGTGAGATAGAAGCTGGACAACAGACCCTGTTTAAAAAAAAAAAAATTTTCTCCCCCACTTTTTCTCTATTCCTCCCTGTCTATAAATTGTCTTTGTACTCCTTAAGGATGTTTTGATAAACAGAAACATTCTCACTGCTACATCGTTTCCATTGTGTGAAGAGCCCACAGTAACAGCAAACAAAGGAGGTTAAATACAGCTTAATTTATTCATCTTTTCCTTACTCCTAAAGCCTTGAAGATACTCACCTACACTATCTGCTACAAATTCTCTCTATATCTTTTGAGACAGGGGCTCACTCTGTCGCTCATGCTGGAGTGCAGTGGCACCATCACCACTCGCTGCAGCCTTGACTTCCCGGGCTCCGGTGATCCTCCCACCTCCCAAGTAGCTGGGACCACAGGCCTGCATCACCACGCATGGCTGAAGCTCTATAATTTTGCTTGATTTTTTTTAACTGATGTAAAATATATTAATACATAAAATTTATCATTTTAACTTTTTTTTTTTGAGACAGAGTTTTGCTCTTGTTACCCAGGCTGGAGTGCAATATCTCGGCCCACCGCAACATCCACCTCCTGGGTTCAAGCAATTCTCCTGCCTCAGGTTCCTGAGCAGCTGGGACTACAGGCATGTGCCACCATGCCCAGATAATTTTTGTGTTTTTAGTAGAGACGGTGTTTCACCATGTTGACCAGGATGGTCTTGATCTCTTGACCTCGTGATCCACCTGCCTCGGCCTCCCAAAGTGCTGGGATTACAGGCGTGAGCCACTGCACCGGGCCTATTTTAACCATTTTTATGTATACAATTCAGTGGTATTAAGTTCATTCACAATGTTATGCAACCATCACCACTCTCCGTTTCCAGAACATTTTCATCATCCCAGAGAATCTGTCCTCAGCATCACTCCCCATTCTACCCTCCCCTAGCTCTGGCAACCTCTATCTTCTTGTCTCTGAATCTGCTTATTCTAGATGCCTCATCTAAATGGAACCATATTTGTTCTTTCGTGTCTAGCTTTTTTTTTAGATGGAGTCTCACTCTGTCACAAGGCTGGAGGCCAGTGGTGCAATCTCGGCTCACTGCTACCTCCACCTCCCTGGTTCAAGAAATTCTCCTGCCTCAGCCTCCCGAGTAGCTGAGACTACAGGCACATGCCACCACGCCCAGTTAACTTTTGTATTTTTAGTAGAGATGGGCTGTTTCACCATGTTGGACAGGATGGTCTCAATCTCTTGACCTCGTGATCTGCCTGCCTCGCCCTCCCAAAGTGCTGAGAATACAGGCATGAGCCACCACGCCTGGCTGTATCTGGTTTATTTCATTTAATATAATGTTTTCAAAGTTCATCCATGTTGTAGCATATGTCAGAACTTATGCCAGCTCCGCACCCACCTTCTACTGTATCAACTCACATGAAGGGCAGGGGGCAGGGCCAGGCCTATCCCCTGCTACCTGGTCACCTAGGTGGTTCATTGCCAATGAGAAAATATTGCCCCCCAGCCTGGTGAGGGAGACTGAGGCAGGCAGATCACGAGGTCAAGAGATGAAGACCATCCTGGCCAACATGGCGAAACCCCATCTCTACTAAAAATAAAAAAAAAATAGCTGGGCATGGTGGCACGAGCCTATAGTCCCAGCTACTCAAGAGGCTGAGGCAGGAGAAGAGCTTGTACCCAGGAGTCAGAAGTTGCAGTGAGCTAATTGTGCCACTGCACTCCAGCCTGGTGACAGAGCAAGAGTCCATCTAAAAATATATATATCTCCCTAAGAAACTTTGGAGGGACCTCTTCTTGGAGGCTGTTTGTGAGGGACATGGGCTCCCCAAGTGTGCACATGGTGTAGGGTAGGAGGTAAGAAAGGTCGGAGCTGTCCTCACATATGTGGCAGTGAAGCAAAGGGCCCCAAGGGAGGTGGCTTCCATAATGAAGGAGCAACACAGGAGCCAAGTGAGCTGCAGCCCAATGGCAGGGTGCTGGATGAGGTGTGGCCAGGCAGAGAAACAGGCCCCCACTCAGGACCGCCACTACCCAGGTGGTGACCTGAGGCTGGGGCTGGGACTTTCTGCAGGGCTGACTGACCCATAGGCTGCTGCAGAGGCGTGGGTTCTGCCAAGTTTGGACTCCACGTATGGTGCGCCAAGACTATCCCGCTTTAGGTGAGAATTTCCGAGTCTCTGCAGCTGCCACATGTGACTTTATTTGTGAAGCCCCTGGGCACAGCCCAGACAGACACAGAGCACAAAACGGAAAGCATGGGGCGGTCATGGGTGCTCAGGGAGGTCACAGGGCATCTGCCCAGTCCAGTCCCCACCGCTCCCCTGCCCACGAGGTCCTCTAAGAGCAACGTCCAGATGCAGCTTGGGCATTGGGGGCCCGGCCCCTCCCTCCCCAGACTGAAGAACAGCTTTGGGTTGCCAATGTGTCCCTTCCAGCTCGGCCCCCCGGCCAGTCACAGACATCTCAGCAGCCAGGAGAGGGCCCACTAGGTCCGGGGCCAGCTCAGTCCCAGCAGCTTCTGCTCCTGGACAATGTGCTGTCCACACAGTGTGGGGCCCAGGGTTGCCCTCTGCCAACAACCACATGGTCCCACCCCCACAGTCCCACCCATGGCATTGTCCACTCTTCAGGCTGAGAGGTCAGCACAGTGGCACAGATGGTAAGGATGGCAGCTGCCGCAGGACCAGGGTTTGGTGACGAGAAGCAGCCCCAGGCGGGGCAGGAAACAGCCCAATCATAACACAGAGGAGAAGGACGGCAGGCGGGCAACTCCCTGGGCTCTGCATCCACCAGGGAGCTGGGGCCCGGAAGGCAGGTGGGTGGGGCAGCCATCAGGGCCCAGGAGGAGATCAGCATAGCGCCCTCAGGTGGCCGTGAGTTTAATGGCAGAGCAGCTCACAGCCCTTTCCCCTGGGGGCCAACTCCCCGCAGCAGAGCAGGGTAGGGCCAGTAGGCAGAGGTTAAAACCCAAATCCCGACTGGAGGCACAGACCTGCACACGCACCACACCCACACACGTACTCAGGGGACTGACATGACACCCGGGACACAGACCCGCCCTGCCTCCGGCCAGAGTCCTGTCCAAGGGGATGGTGCGGGCTGCACCTCAGTTCATCCGACTCCCTCCCCAGGTCACTGGTCCAGGCCAAAGGATGGGAGAGGTTTTGAGTCTAGACCTTGTACAGCGTCTGCAGCAGACTGTGGCGGGCAAAGGAGCAGGATTCCAGGGCGCTGTTGGGCCTGTGAGGAAAGAAGGGTCAGCAAGTGGGGCGGACACCTCTGGGCCAGTTTCCCAAGTGTGGTGTCAGACTCACTTTTGTTAATTTGCACAAAGACTCAGCAAGGGAGACATTAGCCCCCTGCCTTCTGCATACTGTGGGTGGGGGTGGGAGGTGCAAGAGGCTCAGAGAGGCAGGTACCCAAGGCCACACAGCCTAGAGCTGGCCAGAACGCAGGCCAGCTCAGCCAGGCTCTCCAAGGGCCCTTCCAGCAGACACAGGCCAGGGAATCCTCACTGGCTGCCAGTGGCCATGTAAGACTGGCCCACTAGAGTCCCATCTGGGTCATAAGTAAATGGCTAGCCATTGTGTTTTGGTTTTTGTTTTTTTCTTGAGACAGGGTCTCACTCTATAGCCCAGGCTGGAGTATAGCCCTGCAATTGTGGCTCCCTGCATCCTCAACTTCCCAGGATCAGGTGATCCTCCTGCATCAGCCTCCCAAGTAGCTGGGACCACAGGTGCACACCACCACATAGGGCTAAATTTTTTTTTTTTTTTTGGTAGAGACAGGGTTACACTTATGTTGCCCAGGCTGGTCTCCAACTCCTGGGCTCAAGTGACCCAGTTGCCCCAGGCTCCCGAAGTGCTGGGATTACAGGTGGGAGCCACTGCGCCTGAGCTAGCTCAGCTGTTGTTGCTCTCAATATCATTAGTCTCACTGCAAAGGAAGAAACGGAGGCAAGATTCCAGGGGCTGGGCAAGTGTGGGACGCAGCCAGGCCCAGGTCTGACAACACCTCTGGCCTGTGGCCAACGAACAGGCCAGGATCTGTGCCAGGCCTGGGATCCCAGACCATTTGGCTGGGAGCTAAGAGAAGAGGGGCCATGCATATCACTACATAGTTAATCAATCACCTCAGACAAGACCTAGGGGGCAAAGAGGCCTGAGTTGGAGGTCTGGCAACAAGCTGAGAAAGGCATTCTGCTCTGACAAACAGAGCAAGGGGCTCATGCCTAGGCCTAAGACAGCACAGGGGCTGCCAGGGATGCAGAGGGAACCTCTCTGACCGGGGGTCGGGAAGGACAAAAAGGACTCAGGTGCAGGTGCAGGTAGGGGCAGGGGCCACTGGCCAGACATGCTCTGGACAGCAAGAGCAAAGCTCGGCACTGCAGCAATGCCACCGCTGTGGGAAGCAGCTCAGGGAGAGCCTACTGTACTGGGGTGGGGTGGGGGTAAGGCTGGGCCAGCCATGAGATACACAGTGAGGCTGTGGGCTCGACCTGGCCCCTGGCAGAGGAGGGGGACAGTGAGATCTACCATTCACCAAGGCCAGTCCAGCTGCAGCCCAAGGAGTGGTCTGGGTGGGGGGCACAAGGCCAGGAGGTTAAGGGCTGGCTAAGGAGGCAGCACTGGCCGGCTGAGGAGGGTGAATCACGAGTTTAGGAGTTTGAGACCAGCCTGGCTGACGTGGTGAAACCCTGTCTCTACTAAAAATAAAACAAATTAGCTGGGTGTAGTGGTGGGTGCCTGCAATCCCAGCTACTTGGGAGGCTGAGGCAGGAGAATCACTTGAGCCCGGGAGGCGGAGGTTGCAGTGCGCCGAGATCACGCCACAGCATTCCATCTCTGGCGACAGAGACTCCATCTCAAAAAAAAAAAAAAAAAAAAAAAGGAGCACCATGCAGACAGACCCTCCAGATGCTGGGGTGGATGGGGCTGCTGCAGTACCAGCTGGGTGCTGGAGGCCAGCAGGGGCCACTCACACTCTGCCAGCTGCACCTCCCCCACATGTGCCAAGCATCCTGCCTCAGTAGATGGGCTCTGGGCCCGCAATGGCAGAGGGACTTCCTTGCTTCTCTGCCTGCCCTCCTTCCCCGGATTGGCACCAACTGACTAAAAGTGTGGCTGGTCAAGGTGCTCAGAGACAATCTCACCTAACCCCCTGGTTGGGCAAATGGGGAGACCGAGGCCTGACGAAGGCCACAGCTTGGCCAGCGGCCACATAAGGCCTCAGTAAGGATACAGGGGACAAACTTCTGACCTCTCTGGTGAGGACTTGGCTCTGTTACCTGAGTGTGCCCATCACCCCACCAGTGCCCCAGGACACACCAGGACTCTCCAGAACACACCAGGACTCTCCAGAACAAGGCCAAGGTTCACACATTGCTGGGCAGTTCCCGTGGCAATGTGTGTTCCCAAGAGAGGGCCTGAGCTGCCGTGAGCGTGGACAAAAAGCCACTTCCAGAGATGTCACCAAGTGCAACACCTCGTGCAGCCAACATGGGTCTGGACACTGGCCTGACCTCTTGCTACTGTGTGAACGAGGGAAACTTCTTACCAACCCGGTACTCCTTTCCTCAACTGCAAAATGGGGGCATTACATGTCTCCTCTCTCTCACTGTCCCTGAGCCCACTGTCCTCAGCTGGGCAGAGGGAAGTGGGCCTCCCAGGGGTGGTGAGACTCTAACACAGACGCTGAGAGCCCAGGAGGCGTGATGGCCCCTTGTGCATCAGGCTGGGCCTCCTGGGACTGGGCACCTCCAGACCTGGCCAGGGAAGCCTGAGAGGGCAGGCACCAGAACAAACACAACAAGGCCACACTCACTTGGTCATGAACGCCAGCAGCAGGGGTACAAGGGCCTTGGGGAAATAGTCCTGCTGCACCACGTGGTTCAGCGCCATCAGGGGGCCATACAGGTTGGCAATGGCCTTGACCTTGTCTTCACTCTGTGAGGGGAACACAGCAAAACGTGGGATGAGCTTCCAAGTCACGTGGGAGGGCCCCTAGACTCCGCTATCCAGACCTTGCTAACAGTGCCCACAACTGAGACCAGCCAGAATCTAATCATGAAGATGGAGGCTGCTGGGGAGGACCCAGGCCTTGGGGCCCAGTGGGGGAGATGGCTCAGGACTCAAAGTGAGGCAGGCTGGCGGGCATGGATGGGCAGCTTCTGTGCACACCCCACCCGCCTCCCTCGTGGGCCTGCTGTTCCTTGCAGCCTCACCTTGAGCAGACCCATGTGCACGAGGAGTCTGGTGAGGAAGGTGTTGGAGTTGAAGGACGAGGAACTGAAGGCCTTCTTCATCAGGGCATCTGTAGGGCAGAAGCAGCAGGGGCAGGCTACTGGTTATGGCAGACGGCTGCACCCAGGGCTCCCCCAACACCATGCACACACGGGCTCGCCTGCCTCCTTGGCTTGACCAAGAGGCGAACACGAGAGGGACACCAGGGACACAGGAACCAGGGGGAGGGGCAGTTGGCATCAGGGGATGGGCTCAGTCCATCTACCAGATGTGACACTCTGGCCCTTCCCCATACTGGTCTCAGGTGTAAAATGGGTGTGGAGATGACACCCACTGTGCCCACCTCATACTGTGGGAGTGGAGATTTCTTGAGGCAGGCCACCCTGAGGGAGGATTTTGGTTATTTTAGCTAGGCAAGGGGACCTGCAAGGACTGTGCTAGACATCCTGAGAAACGGAACTAGGGCAGCTTGTTCCACAAATTCCCACAGGTGAGCCCTTAGGGAGCAGGCTTGTGTCTGGCCCACACCCCCTTCCCAGCCTCACTTCCTACTGAGCTGCCCTGCCTCAACACCACCCATAGTAGAAGCCAGGAAGAGGCACACAAGCACATGCTTCCACCCCTTTCTATCCTTTTCCATGAGCCGCGTCCCTCGCCTCAGGGCCCTTCCTCCCCTCTGCCTAACCAGATCTGGCCCACGTCTGGTTAGATGCAGCAGAGGCTCAGTCAAGCATACGAGACAGGGTGGAAGGTGACACGTGCTGGACTGGAAGAAACAGAATGGGGTGGGAAGGGGGTTGAGACAGGGCTGGAGGGACGTGGCTGGAGCTCTGAGGAAGCCCCCATCATGTCATGGGGAAAGGTGTCCTCTGTGCAGGGAACCTCCAGGTACAGTGAACGTGAGCACAGAAGCTCTGAGCTGTGGAAAAGGGCTCAGCTCTCATGACCCCTCCTCCCGACAGAACTGCGTCCACTGGGCTTGCGGATGTGACTATCTGTCCTTCCTAGAGTAGGCTCTGGGTTCTAGCTGTATATGGCTGTGTGGATTTGGGAAAGTTTCTCAGTGGTAAAAAACAGGGAGAAGAGCACCCAGCCAGCTCCACAGCAGGACCAAGGCAGGACCCTGACAGAGGAACAGCTCAGAGTGCTCAAAGAGCAGTTCCCACGAAAGTGCTGGGGCTGAGGAGTTACGGCAACCACAAAAGGCACCTGGGGCCCAGGAGCATCAAGGGACAGTGGGCACCCAGGTCTCACCCAGCCACATTACCTACTGCATCCTGCACTGCCGTCCTCACAGTGGCTTCGTCCTTGAACACAGATGACACCTTTAGGAAGGCAGAGACCACCTTCTCGGGGTCAGATGTGTCAGTCTGAGGACATAAGAGACAATGGTTGACCTGCACCACATGGTGGAGACGTGCCTGGGCTCTGTCACTAGCTGGGAGAGGCCTGGGCAATACGCAGGCCCCTGCCAGCAACGGCAGGTCCTGCCTTACTCCATGTAAGGGACAGGTCCTGTCCCTTCAGAGTCTGCCCTAGACTTGGCCAGCAGCAAGCAAATATGCAGTATAGAGAGGGAATGAACGAGGAAATGAACCAGGATGAAAAATCATCCCAGCCGGGCGTGATGGCTCATGCCTGCAACCCCAGCACTTTGGGAGGCTGAGGTGGGAGGATGGCCTGAGGCCAAAAGTTTGAGACCAGCCTGGACAACATAGCAAGACCCCATGTCAACAAAAAGGAAAAAAATTAGCCAAGGATGGTGGTATGTGCCTATAGTCTCAGGTACTTGGGAGGCTGAGGCAGGAAGATTGCTTAAGCCCAGGAAGTCAAGGTTGCAGTGAGCCATAATGGCATCACTGCACTCCAGCTGGAGTGACAAAGCAAAACACTGTCTCAAAAATAAATAAATAAAATCATTTCAGGGACCCAGTGGTCCCCATCTTATAATTGAATATGAAGAAATAATCTACAGCACAGACAATATTCACATGCAGAGAAGTTTACCCCAAACTCACTGACAACAAGGAAAAGTGGAAAACGTCAATGTCCAGAAATAGTGCCTGGCTTTTAACTGCTACATCCACTCACTGGAGTAAAAACCATGAGAAGAGTTTTACAGACACAAGAAAGTGATGAATGGTGTTAAATGAAGGTGACAGGGCCAGGCATGGTGGCTCACGCCTAAAATCCCAGCAATTTGGGAGGCCAAGGCAGGCGGATCACCAAGTCAAGAGATCAAGACCATCCTGACCAACGTGTTGAAACCCCATCTCTACTAAAATACAAAAAATTAGCTGGGCGTGGTGGCATGTGCCTGTAGTCCCAGCTACTCGGGAGGCTGAGGTAGGAGAATTGCTTGAACCCAGGAGGCAGAAGTTGCAGTGAGCTGAGATCATGCCATTGCACTCCAGCCTGGCGCCTG